GGTACGGTTCTTTATTATTGTAGGTGGCTTGCAGCTTTTGGGAACCGTTTGAGGAACTGAATGGTTTGTAGAACGTAAGAGCGTGTGCAGTACGAAGTCCCAATGACCGTCCACATCGAGTTGGGGATGAACATCCCAAACCACCTGTTGTAGACAGTCGTGTAGAGCTGGCACATTTAACCGTTTAAAATTCCAACGCAAGTTATTGGTGGGGTATCTTAGATTAGTTTTGCTGACAAAACTGAAGGTTTTGACGGCATGATCGCTTTTTCCCAGGGGAGCCAGGATTGAGAGGTTGTCGACTAGGAATTCTTCGTTAGTGAATACACAGTCTAAGCGCGATGGTGTCTGACTGTTTCTCCAACGAGTTGCCGACCTCACGTTTTCGAACAATCCCAAGTCATCGATGAGGTTGAAGAACCGAGCTTCAACTGAGTTATCGCCTCCAGTATACGTGTGTTCCGCGAAGTTTAGACTTCGTTTTCATTAATGATGTGATTATATATGCGACTCGTAAACGTGGCCCATTATCTAGCTCGGATCACTGTATAATTCGTGTTCTACCTACAGTATATGGAGAGCATGGGAAGAGTACACTCTTACATCAAACCAAGAAAGTCAAATATAGGAATTACTCAGAAGAAAATATCCGAAATCTGAAAAACATGTTTCATACGACTAACTGGGAATTATTTACAGATGATTCACTGGAAAACACTACTGACGTTATCACTTGTTACCTTAAATTCGGTTCTGACATTTGTTGTCCCACCGAAACCATTTTTGTAAGTTTTGATCGACTTACATCTACACAACTGAAACGACTACGGAGGATGAAAGAAAGAATGTACAAGGAGAAGAACTCTAATGAAGTTAGTAAGCTAAATGGTCTGATAAACCTAGAGATTAGACGCCTCAACTGTATGTTTACTTAAAAACTCTTGTCTTGCAAAAACTCTCCAAGTACGTGGAAACTCTTTAAAGAACTTACAGGTGACGGACAGTTTAGAAGCGATAACCAGCTGAATGTTTGTGACTTAAATAAGTCTTTTGTACGTCAGTCATCTGATGTGATGCTCCCTCTATCCACGGGTTTAAATAATAGCTGTGTTCCTACTTTCACTGAGACTGATGTATGAAGATGTCTCCAGTGGCTTAATTCATCTCGATGTTTGGGACCTGATGGTATCCCAAACATCCTTTTTAAAAAATGTGCTGACGTTCTGTGTCATCCGTTCACAGCTATCTTTAACAGATCCTTCCCATCTAATCTCATACCAAAAATGTGGGGAAAGATGAAGATAATTCCTGCACCCAAGAAAGCATCTAGTGATAAGAATGTAAAATTTAGACCTATTGCAATAACTTCACCCTTCCTCAAAACAATGGAAAAATTATTAATACCTCCACTTCAGCCTGCGATAAAAGAGCATATTGATCCGTATCAGTTTGCTTACAGACGCAAAAGAAGCACTTCAGATGCTGCTGCTGTTCTGCATCACAACATAGTGTTCAACTAATAAAAGGGTAAGAAGTATGTTCGATGTGATTTTCTGGACAATACTTCAGCTTTTGATTCTGTACCAAGACAACGTTTAATTAACAAGTTATTCAGCGTCAACACTGACAGCTGGATAACCAACTGGCTATGTTCCTACCTCTCTGGAAGGGAACAGTACACTGTGTTTGGAGGAAAGTGTTCAGAGTCTCTGCTGTCACATGAAGGTGTGCCACAAGGAACTGTTCTTTCACCTCTTCTTTTCTCTTATTTTCTGCATGATCTGCCATCTTCCACAGAAAACACTTTTTTTGAAATATGCGGATGATCTTACTGTATGTATGCCTATCTCTTCCTCTTTACATCCCATGGAAATGAATGAGTTATTGTCTCGTATTGATTGTTGGTCTGTTGGTAATGGTGTCATACTTAATCCGTCTAAATGTCAAGCTGTTAACTTTAGCATGAGACATGAACGGAATCTAAACACCATTTTGAGATCCCATAATGCTTCTACCATCGGAGACTCTTTGATAAACACAGTGTCGAAGGTCAATTATCTTGGTGTCACTTTTTCCTCTGATCTCTCTTGGTCTTCCCACGTTTTATTGTTATCAAAGAAGGTTTTCCGTCTGACCTACTACATAAAGAGATTGCATGCTCTTGGGATTACTCGTCATTTACTCTTACAATGTGTCAATTCTTGCATATTACCTATTATTCCTTACTGTTCTCCATTATTCTTTCCCGGGCTTTTGAGGAAAGACTTTGCTGTACTGCGGAGAGTGCTGAAGGCAGTTAGCAAGATGTGTGGTAAATCTTTCGAGATCATAATTAATATGAATGTGGATAGACATTTAAAATCATGCAAACTCCTGGCAGGTGTCATTTTATCAGATACTAGCCATCCCCTTCACTCTTATCTTTCTCCTTGTATATCTTCTGGTAGAACGAGACGTAATTACATTCAAATCCATACACGCAAGCAAAAGTATAAAAGTTCTATAATACCTTACCTGGCAAATATACACTGTGACGAACAGGTTGTTAGAGTTAACCTAGTCAATAACTTACATTCTTAACATGTCCTTAATTTTAAAAGTACAGTTTTTCAGTTTTTTTTTCTTTTTTCTTTTTTTTAAAAAAAATTCTCTTTTTTTGTACTCGTTACTGTGTTTTTTTCTTTTGTCGTTGCGTAAGTAACTTGTTGAAATAACCTGTGCTGAGAATTCTATATTGTACCAAAACTATAATATTGAATAAAGCCACTAATAATAATAATAACAGCGTCGGATACCGGCTCAGTGGTCTAATGGTTAAGCGCTGGCGCGCGAGACTGGTAGGTCCTGAGTTCGAATCTCACAGGGTGGAGTCGTGGATGTGCACTGCTGAGGAGTCCCATACTAGGACGAGACGGCCGTGCAGTGCTTGCAGGTTTTTCATGGTGATCTAGCTTCAATTGACTCATGATTTCAACTATTGTAAGTGTATTTGTTAATCAAAAAGGAATAAATCACTGTTCGTAACTCTGTAAGACATCATTTTTATAGTTGAATATTCTAATGAATTCCCTAGGCTATCGAGCACAAAGTCTTGAAGTGAGTCAAGTTAAAAAAAGTAAGCTATTTCGTTTATAAAACTTTATTTGCTTCTATAGTCAAAAATTAACACAGTGCAAAAGCAGGGATCAATACAATTTATGAAACAGAAAAAAAGTGGAGACAAAAATGGTATATACACAACAATATCTAGAGCACACAACAGTTGAGTCAATGAAACTTACTCTTGTTCATAAAAAAAATGTACACGTTTATAATTGGCGAATAGACTAAGCATAATCATATCAGGGTCAGACCGAGTTCATATAGTGGCAGTTTATTAATGCTATTGGTAGATCTGTTGATTGTTCACATTTGACACATTTCTCTGGTTCTTCTATTTATTTAAGATAAAGCACTTATTCGTCACTGATCTTTATAAAATTAGTCAAGTAATTCAAAGGTATCTTCTGATAGATAGAACTATGGCCCTATATCATAACAAAAATTTCCAACAGCGCATATCCGTCTCTGGATTTAGGGGATGGATACTCTTTCATATTGACATCTGAATTGGTGAATGTTATTACTTTTAGGGTTACAGATAGGCTTTGTTGAAGAGTATCATTAGTTTTATTTGTTTAGTAAACATGCCAAAGTGTACCACAAAATCTCACTTCGTTTAATAGTTGAATTATAGATTCTGACCATGATTTATATTTATTAGCTTGTATTACTTTTTAGATTGATGAAATAACTAAAAGATAAAATGTATACAACCCTTACAAATCTGAACTCATTTTGTATATTACTGAAGAGATTTACTCGAATACAAAGCATACATACAGTTTCATCAGATATTAACCATGCTGCAAGTGATTAGTTCGTATTGACAGCAAGTAGTATAATTGTAGCATAAAAATAAGATAATCAATTCCGATAAGTTCTTGATAGTTAAACAACTCAGTCAGTTAATTCAGCTCAGTTCCTTCTTATAGTTAAAACTAGTAAGCTGATGAGGACAAATACGATGCAATTGATTTCTTCTAAATAAAGATTACCTATGTCATACAAATTGTTCTGGTTTGTTCTCACTAATGAATACAAAGTTATTTAAACAAAGAAAAACTATCCAATAGTCAAAATACTGAGATTAGTGAGTTTCTCCTATTTAAATATATATTCTATATTCAAGTAGTACTCTCATATCCAAGTATCCATATGAACTATTGATAGCAATTATTATAATTGATTGAACTTATTTTTCAATCATCAGTTTACATACTTTACCTAGTGTACCGGTTATCAAGAATGAAGTAGAGAGAGAGAGTTAAGACGACCCTCTGTGCACGGCAACCACTTCACAGATTTATTAAGAAAACAAAGGCTTAGAATATTGTAGTTTTTCGGTTGCTATGTTAAGCTCACATAACTTACTCTGGCTTCTGGACAAGTCAGTTCATTCATTTTTCATGAATCACATTTGGACAGCAGTGATTCGATAACAATCAGAAACGATCAACTTGGAATCAGATTAAGGGTCACTAAAATACTAACTGTGGATTTTCCAGTTTATAAATTTTATTGAATCAGGGCCAAGGAAGAATGAGAGGTTGGATTAAGGCATTGGTAATCCACGAACTCAAGTCCGACCTTTGCGTGCAGAAACTATTTGCTCAACCTTTCATCCTTTCTTGGCCCTAATTCCCTTTATTGTCGCCTTAAGATAAATACTTGGAATATTAATAATCCTTTTGGCTACTCTTTTATCGAACTATTTAAAAGCGAATAAATTCATCATATAAATTGTTTATTCACAGCGAATAGTTAGTTAAGCATCATACATCATGTACGTCAATCTGAAGAACTAATGCATCTATGAAAAAATAAAATAAACCTGAAAATAATTGAAATAAATTATCAAGAAATAATGCCGTTGATAAATGAATGAGCTGGTTGTTATCCTATTCATTTGAACTATTCTGTTGATTTTGACAAATGAATATGCTAAGTATCTACCTACCTTTGTTTGAGTTCTCAGAGAATTTGATGACAGAGAATGGGATTCAGTGTTCAAAATTCGATTTGGTTTTAGCTTGTCTAGCTGATCACAAGTTTCTTTTGCAAGATGTAAGTAGGTTTCATCCACCTGATAAACAAATGATATTAAACGGTGAGAATAGATTGTGTGGAACCTTTGAGTGATTCGTTTGATTTAGTAATCATATTTTCAGTATGGGGTTGCGGAGATTGTTGAATATAATCGAAATCATGAACCGATCAATTTTAGAATCCGGAAGCACTGGGTGGCCACTTCATTCTAGTATGGGGCTCCTCAGCAGTGTGCATTCACGACCTCACCAGAGAGTCAGACTAAGGACCTTCTGTTTCAATGAAACTCAGCAATCTGTACAACCACATACTGAAAATCATCATGTGCTCACCAGTGGCTAGCTTCGAAATGTAGTTCTCTGAGTTCTAGTGAGAAGCCATGACTAGTGGAGTTCAGCCGTGTCGGATACAAGGTATTTACTCATCGTAGGTAATAGATGCGCTGGATCATGGATCGAATGAAGTTAGACGTCAACATCGTTGGATGCTAGCTCAGTGGTCTAGAGGTTAAGCGTTCGTGCGCGAAACCGAGTGTTCGAGTCCAAAGTGTAAATTTATGGATGCACATGGCTGAGGAGTTCCATACTAGGATGAATGGCCGTCCAGTGCTTCAAGGTTCTAATGGTGATTTAACATTGATCGGTTCATGATTTCAATGGAATAACTATAGTTAGCAACGTAGTCAATCAAAAACACTATTTCCGACCTAAATCTAAACAAAAACAATTGAGAGTGTATGTCATTTACTGACAAGTAACACTATTTGCAACTGAATAACCAATTTGTCATTTTGTTCAGTTTAGCTATCGTAATGATCATGACAAATGAATATGCTAAGTATCTACCTACCTTTGTTTGAGTTCTCAGAGAATTTGATGGCAGAGAGTGGGATTCAGTGTTCAAAATTCGATTTGGTTTTAGCTTGTCTAGCTGATCACAAGTTTCTTTTGCAAGATGTAAGTAGGTTTCATCCACCTGATAAACAAATGATATTAAACGGTGAGAATAGATTGTGTGAAACCTTTGAGTAATTCGTCTGATGTAATAAAAAATGTTCTTTACGCTTGACATTGAAAGAATTGCAGCTTTCAAAAGTTACAGTATCTGAAAACATTCAATAAGTTTTTCTCTGAGATGAAATTGTAGTCGCTGATACTATGTCAAGCCCACATAGGTTATTCTAGCCTCTAAAAAGACCAATTTATTCATTCTTCTCAAGCTACATATTTTGACCTTGTTGATTATCCGCTTATTAATCCTGACTATTTTTATATGATCTTATGTGTGTTAATTGCTTGTCTTATTCATTACGTGTCTGTAATTTATTTATGTTTGAATATGAATATTGAGTCACACTTTATCAGAACGAATTGGTTCACTTTCCTCTTGCACTGCGCATCCCTTTGTTTCGTCTCACTTCTCTTCCTTCACTTCGTTTCTTTGATTATTTGTCTGGATCAATGAGTGTATGAAATATACGTATTTAAAATTGATTCTTGTATTTGGCTTATTTTATTCCGTTATTCTCCAAAGTGAATTAAGTCAGTAATTATGTAAGAGGATAGTTGTTATGTGTATTTTGATAACGATTAGCATATGATTTTATTGTGGACCGCGGGGTGGCTACTCTAATTTCTACCGACTGACCAAATTCAGATATCCCAGTACGACCCCAATATTATTCCCCAATCTCTAATATATCAGGACACGAACCGTAGATACAATTGTTTATGGGGTCAGGAGAAGAATAAGAATAGGAATAGGAATAATACTTTACAGTCAAATGCATATTTATACAGTTAGGACTACCGTGAATATTGACGAACAGGAAAATGACACGTGAAATAAATATTGGCCAATAGGAAAATGAAACCATTTCACGTTCAAGGATAGCGTTAGAATTAACAAGATAATTTTTGGGATATTTTACTGAATATCCCAACAGATTTAACTGAAGTCAAATATTCGGCCACTAAACAGAAAGAAAAAACTATAGGATAAGTTGTTTATTATCAAACATAAAACTGGTTCTCAAATTTCTATGTTTTATATAAACAAAAATTTGTTGACTAAAGATTGAATGGGGTTTGACTGTTTGGTACTGTGAACAGCACCCCGTTTTCATATTCCCTTTTGCTTTAAACTAGAAAGCATACATTATAATGTTTATCCCTTTCATTTTATAAATCAAATTGCTATTCACTTTTGATAGACGAACTTGATAAACGTGAATTTTCAAAATACTTGATAATGAAAGATATTTCACATTTGAGTTGTAACTGAATTCGGTCAAGATATTTTCATCTTCTGACTTCTGATTACTATAGATCGTAGGTCTGAACATACACAAAGAGAAAAGCAAAATTCTTCGATACAACACAACATGCACCAATCGAATCACACTTGACGGAGAAGATTTGGAAGATGTAAGAACCTTCACATATCTGGGCAGTATCATTGATGAACACGGCGAATCTGATGCACAGGGGAAGACGCGGATCGGCAAAGCAAGACCAGAATATTTACAACTGAAGAACATCTGGAACTCAAAACAACTATCTGTCAACCAACAACCAAGGTCAGAATTTTCAATACAAATGTCAAGACAGTTCTACTTATATGGCGGAAACTCGGAGAACTACGAAGGCCATCATCCAGAAGATACAAGTGTTCCTCAACAGTTGTCTACTCAAAATAATTCGAGTACGTTGGTCGGACATTATCAGTAACAACCTATTGTGGGAGAGAACAAACCAGATTCCAGCGGAGGTAGAAATCAAGAAGAAGAAGAAGAAGAAGAAGCGGTGGAAGTGGATAAGACACACATTGAAGAAATCACCGAACTGTGTCACAAGGTAAGGCCTCACATGGAATCCTGAAGGGGAAAGGAGAAGTGGAAGACAAAAGAACACAATACGTCGAGAAATGGAGACAGACATTAGAAGAATGAACAAGAACTGTGTAGAACTGGAAAAGAGGGTGAAGGACAGAGGTGAGTTGGAGAATGCTGGTTGGCGGCCTATGCTTTATTGGGAGTAACAGGCGTAAGTAAGTAATATATAATGTTGTAGATCATGGTCATACACTTTTAACTGGATCCTAGTTTCATTGAAATTTATCAACCTCCACAATTTCATACTGATGAAAATTTTATGTTGTCTTTATTTGGAGAAAACAATCACGTGAAATTTCTCCTCGAACCTAAAAGGTGTAAATATTTCAGAACTAACATAAAGTACGAATACAACAGACAATGATGATGGAATAATGGGAACAAAATACTGAAGTTTACCTTCTATGCAAAGTAAATAACAGAATAATTTATTGTTTGTAATGAATCAAGCCTAATGTTGTAGATGAAGTTCTTGGGTGAGTACGTTAGTATCAAGCTCCTACAAACTTTAAAAGCAACTTATATATTTATTTATAAAACGAAGATTCAAAGAAATCCGCTGGAATTTTTTTACAATTTTTAGAAGTGAGATACTATTGAATGTGTTTTTCGGGCAATATATTATTTGTTAAAACTTAATCTGATATTGATTCGTGCTATTTTTCAGTTCAACATTTCTTCTTGGGTTTCAAGATAATTATCTGGCTTATAGGATGGGAAACTCACAGCTCTAGGGTTATCACATGGAATCCTGAAGGGGAAAGGAGAAGTGGAAGACAAAAGAACACAATACGTCGAGAAATGGAGACAGACATTAAAAGAATGAACAAGAACTGTGTAGAACTGGAAAAGAGGGTGAAGGACAGAGGTGAGTTGGAGAATGCTGGTCGGCGGCCTATGCTTTATTGGGAGTAACAGGCGTACGTAAGTAAGTAATAAATCGTATAGAACAAAATGTGCACATCTGTTGGTTTCAACAACATTTATTTAGTCTTCAGTCCATTTTCAAGCTACTTATGTTTCAAATTCATGTCAATAAATATCATTACATAATAATTATGAAATTGCTTACTTCATTTGAGCTTTTGTCTGATGACATTTGTTTCACATTTGACATTTGATTGGATGATTTATTACCATTATCAATAACTTCATATACTCCTTCTATATAAGTTGAATTCAATGCTTGCGGTATAGGAATAAGCTTCAATGTGTATTTAAACTAAAATGTATATAAAACATTTACCTGTAGAGAAAGTAACTATCTTATCTCTAGTTTAATATTAAGAGAAAATTGCAATGGTCAAGAGATAAAAAAGAAAAATCACTTTTATATCTTTTTCTTTTTCATTTTTCATAAAAATAATAAAAAGGAAACTGAATTTTGATTCGATTATAGGTTGTCAATTTATGGGTCAGACTGTGGTGTATGCTACTGATGTCGACAGATATCAGTAGTATGTATCATCAATAGAAAGTGAAATGCCTGGCTGATCGAAGAAAAGAGAACGAGAACAGAGAATGATTGGTATGGAAATGAAGAGACAACAAAGTTTGAGACGACTGACTGATATTTTGCAAATGAAGTATTCACTACTGTATGGTTCTCAGATTTTACTAAGAGATTCTGTAATTTTGTGCTCAAATACATTCGATTGTCCACAATTGTGTTCTCGTTCACTACAGTACTAGTTGAGTAAATGATCAAATTCACACTTCACTAACATAATGTAACATATTAATTAGACGAAATAAAACTGAATTAGTTGTATATGGACTGTTTGCAGTCAACAGCTTTTTGTTATTCTATGTAAAAGTTTTACAAATCAGAATTTAGATTGTTACAAGTTATTCATAGAATGTTAATACAACCATATTTAAAGGATTTAATACACTAATAAGCACATTAATTCATTGTGATCTTATTTAAATGATATCACCAAAAAGAATAAATAAAACGGATACACAATGGTTGGTATATTTTTTATTAGTTTTACTAAGCGTTAAAAATCAATACAGTCCTTACAATAGATTGATCACTGGGTGGTGATCAGTGTTATATATATCAGGTCTTTCTTAGTGTAGATCGAATGCTACCGACCAAGTTGCAATGTGGTCACTAGTCTAGGTGACTCGATATTGAATGCACTATGTTGGGATAAGATGGTGGTTAGAGATAGTCAACAGAAAGTACTGAATTTAGGTTTCGTGCTACTTGGCATTTGATCTGGTCATTCGCGGCCCACATAGCTCAGTGGTAACGTCTCTGACTGAGCATCAGTGCCCTGGAGATTACAAGTACATCTTGATGACGAGCGCCAAGTGGTGCGAAACCTGGGTCCAGGGTTTCCTGTTGAATACCTCCAACCACCATCGTATATCAATACAGTCCGGAATGAATATATATTGATTCTCGTTAATTAAATAAACCGTAGATATTCAGTGCCGAGGAGTCCCATACTAGGACGAACCAGCCATCCAGTACTTCCAGGTTGTCATTGATGGTCTAGTATAAATCTACTCGCGAATTCAACCGTTAAAATATTACAATCTCCATAAGTTTCCATATTGATAGATAAAATGTGTTTACATTGACTATTTTTTAAAAATTAAAATGTTCAAATCGTCAACTTATCATAGCATTGTGAAATACTTGACATTAACAGTGAAGAAGTGGTAGTCAGTCAGTATCATACCCTAATTGTTAATAAGTAGATTTGGTTAGTCTGAATTCAGATGTTTGAAAATTCACAGTTCATACAATAAAAAAGAGTAGTTTGTAATCGATGTTATGTAAGTCACTAATGTTAGATCTGAGTTTTTCCTTAACTAGGATGAAAAAAGAACTCAATACACGATTCTAACCAGTAGTATGTAAAATCTAACATTTGATCAGTAATTTATGATCTATTAGCATCAAATGTACTTTTTTATTCATTTCTGTTAATTTTTAATGTTAAGAGTTCAAATATGAATCTACAATACTCATGGACTTAAGAACGATTGATCTACTCTAATATGATCGGTTCGACTGTGTAGAACGGTAATGGGAACTGGATAACATAAGGGAAAGATGAATTATGGGAAATCTTGATATTTTAAGTAGAACAAACAGAACATAACGAAATGTAACAGCTTCGTATACATAGTAACGAAAACATGGTCTTCAAGTGTGAGGAAATTTAACGAACTATAAATAATATTAACCAATTGAAAAACGGCAAAATTTATGTGAGTAATTGGATTCGTAAAGAAAGACAATTTCGGTTATTGTTTCGAATAAGATTTTAGTAAAATTTGAGTAATCTTATAAGCGATTGAAGCTAGACCACCATGGAAGACCTGGAAGCACTGAACGGCTGTTTCGTCCTATTATGAGACAATGGTGGGCGGTGGCACGATTTCGTGGATTGGTTAAAGTTAGGTGTCGGTTTAGTGGTCTAGATGTTAAGCGTTCACATGCGAGACCGATAGGTCCTGGGTTCGAATCCCACGGGGCAGGAACGTGGATGTGCACTGCTGAGTAGTCCCATACTAGGACGAAACAGCCATCCAGTACTTCCAGGTTTTCCATGATGGTCTATCGACAATCGACCCATGAATTCAACTAGTGAATTACTAAAATCTCCACAAAAACCTCTTCTAATAATCTTATAATCATTTAAGTTCCCTCTTTATTAATTCATTAAGTTGAGTTAATTTCTTCTCCTTTTTTTTCACGGTTTTGAAATATGGCAACTTTTCTGTATGGTCTTGGTGCGACTTTGTACATGTTATCATATTTTTCTTAATCTTCCGATCTGACTATTGAACTGATCATACTATACTTATTATAATTAACTAAATAGTAGTAAATTCTAATAATTAAAAACTTGACTTTTCGAGTGAAATTAAACAACACAATTTTCTACTTGTAATGAATAATAATAACACCATTATTATCAATTAATAATAATAATGATAATTACTGGTTTCGGGGAACTTGAACTGGTAAGAATACTTAATCTGACATTGATATTAGTAAGTTTTGATGAATCAGAAGATGGAGATTGTTCATTGCGGAAATAGTTCGAACGATGATCAGTCTGAGAATTTGAACCAGCTATTTGAAAGTTTTCGTGATTAGAGTCGTTTGATACTGATAAGTTTATAATCGTTTCCTCTGTAAGCAAAAAATAAACAACTGATAACAACCATATATATATATATATATATATATATATATATATATATATATATATATATATATATTTATGTTGTAGAAACGAAAGGGTTATATGCTCGCTATTTAGATGTATTAGTTATATCAGAGAATATAACTATAGTGAACGGCTAGCATGTAGGGAGTAAAGTCTCCATTTAATTGTTACATCAAGATCTTCGTCATTTCATCTAAATTGTATTGACTAACAGTCGAAATAATATAAAAAAGGCTACTTATTATTACGTTACTTGGAAAAGTAATCATTTCGCGCTATGTAAAATAGAAGGATTGGTTTTTAATTTTAGCATAAACAGTATCTTCATTACGTGATAAACTTATCCCTCTTTGGTGAATACAGTTTTTAAATATTGAGGAATTTTCATAGATTAAATAGCAAGTTGACCCGAGCTACATCATCATTAAAGACCAGGAAGCACTGAACAAATACCTCAACCTATATGAGACTTCTCAGTAGAGCTCACTCACCAGAAGCCTTGACCAGATCTATTCAATCATGTAAGGTATGAGACAGTTATCCACCGCAAGCAATAGGAGATGATTATGCAATATTACGATGAGCTATCACTGGTCAAATTCCCAATTGTAGTTTTCGTTAATTCTTATTCAATTTTCAACAAACATTTTATTTTAACCTGACTGCTCTATGAATTTATTAAAAAATATGAAAACTTTCAGAAAATATTTACTAATATTATTTAATAGTCCCAGAGTGAACATCAATTCTGAGATGCAGGTACATCCAGCTGACGAGTCCCAAATAGGACGAAACGTGCTTCCTGGATTCCACTGCTAGCCACTGTCCATCTTTGCTTATTTAATAGTTATGTTTATTTTTTATCAATAGGCTACGATAACCGATATTATCATTGCTATATCAGAACGAAGATTGAAGGAATGGTAACTCCCAGGATTAATTTATGAATTATTACTATTATTATATTCTTATTGTATAATTATTAAGAGACTAGACTAATATGTATATATCCCCTTTGTCATAAGCTTTCGGTTGACCTATTAACTAATGTTATACGTTTTACTTTTCCTAATTTATTCCCAGTCAATTTTTTACAGCCTCTCCTATTCACACTAATTTTTGGCATGTTTATGAATGATTGTTATTTTTTTAAATAGTATGAAGCGGTCTGGTCTGTCTGTAGATAAACTACGTCTGTTTGAAATATAATATAGAGTAGAGACTAGTTGCTGACTTCTAGGTCCAAAGTTTTAGTCATGAAGAGCTAAAGAGTCTTGGACCAATAGTAACTTAGCCGTCGATTCAGGGTTAATAGTTCTGATCGGGCGTGTACTTGACCAAGCCAGAGATACTAAATCGCAGGAGTAAGTTACGTTAGCAAAATAGATCAGATTAGTATCAGGATTCTGAATGGAGATTTTTCAGGTGATTGAAACCAATGAAAATATCTATTATGAAATCAAGAAGCGAATTTTAGATGGTACCTAAGCTAAATTATAGAACATACTTGCTCTGAAGTCAGACTGTCTGTTAAAGTACTTGATGTCGTTCATTGTGTAATTAAGTGATGAATGAAGCTTGATTGTGTTCTCCTTTTCTTATTCTAAATCTCAACCCTAAGTCACTCGAGTTTATAAACAGAAAGATGACAAAGAACTGTATTATAGACGATGTTAGCTCATCAGGAAAGCCCTGACCCTTATTTGTAAACTTGACTCAAAACTCCAGTTTAAATCTCAATGCTTAAATCTAACCTGTCTACATTAGAAATGATGCCAGCTGCTGGAAAAAAACTTTAAGGGGTGACAACCTCAACTCATAACACCATCCCAACTCCTGATATGTGTGCATACATGTAAACATACCCTTCTTTCTTTACAAGAACGGATAATTCGGCTTATAAGGGTTCATTACTATGATCAAAGTCTTTGTTCCACCATTAATTCATCACTTTTCATTGTTAATTATTTTATAACTGGACAGCGTTTACTGATTGGCTGCTAAGTTGTCCAAGGTCGTCGGTATATTATACCTTTACACTGATATCAACTTACCACATGATTCAATATGTGTGTTGGTATTCTTGTGATCATTTGCCACATCACCAGAAGGAGCTTCATTTTGTTTAGATTTTTCGAATATAACCATTTAGATCTATGGAATAAAATAATCGAATGATTATAATATATATGAACTGTTCATTCATTTTTGCATATTATTATATTCCTTAAAAGTTATAATTTCTCACGAAAATAAGTAGGAATTTGACAATTTGTCCCATATATTCTTTAATTACTTTAGACAGTGTATTCGAATAATAACACTAAGTCAATTTATGAAACTCAATGGAATGGTGCACGAGTCAATTGATTATTAAGCTGTAGATATCTGATCTGTTAACATCTTAGCGATAATCATTGTCATTACTACTATTGATGCTACTACTAAAGTAGTGTAAGAGGACTCAGATGCAAGATTACACAGTGGCTTAGTAACATGAAAATCATACGTTAAATACATTATTTTCTCATCTTCTTTCTTTTTTGTCCTTTACAAGCTCCAGTATTCTTCCAATTCTTTTGTTATTTTAATTGCTCTCATGTTTCCTTTCTGTTCTCTTCTATCCCATATTCTGCCGTCAGGCATTCCACTCCCAGTTGAGGCTACATACTACATGTATCTGTCAGCATAAGGAAAATCCACCACAATACTACTACTACTACTACTACTACTACTACTACTACTTCGGAGTGTGGTACTAATGTCGACAGATTTGAGTAGTACTTTTCACCAATCGAAAGTGGAATGTCTGGTTGAGAAAATCGAAGAGAATGAGGACAGAGAATGATTGGTATGAAAACGAAAGAACAACAAAGTCTGAGACAACTGATGAATATTTTGCAAATGAAGTATTGCTGTATGGTTCCCAGATTTTACGAATAAGTGACTTTTTTCGCTTCTTCTAATCGATCTGAACTCTACCAATGAGACATTTTATCAGTATAAATTAATGCCCAACGGTTGTCCGAAGAAGGATTGTCAGTGATTGGCGTTCGGATTAGAATTCTTATTTTAATTATAATAAAGAATCTCAAAAATTACCTGTAGATTTCTTATTATAGAGTTGGATTTTTTATATTGTCATTCAATGTCTTTATATATGTAGCTACATTCTCCATCTCTGTTATGGCTCAAAGCAGACAGCCGATTATATGACAGTGACTTATCGATCGGATCAAGGATTCAGAATCTCGATAGACTATTCTGGTCCGTTGTCCCCAACTCTGCTAACTCGATCAAGAAGTCTGTGTAAGGTGTAGAAAGTGTATTCTACAGACAACAGCAGATAACAAGTCAGGCAGGCAGATCAGATCAAGCATACAAGTCAAGCGTATTTATACAATTATTTACAATCGATAGAAAATTTTTAAACATTAATCAATGAGTTCATTAATTGACCTATTTGCGCATTTAATCGATAGTTCATCAATTGACCCCAATAAAAATATCTAACATTTAATCGATAAGATGATTGATAAGATAAATTTTAAAATATGAGTTTGGGGATCTATCGTCCCCAACAATCTCATCTATTTACATCTACTAGTTAAAATGGTTAATTTCGTTGATCATAAGTTTAAATAAATAAATATTTATGATTGCTATACAGAGGTGACGGTTTTCTATTAGAGTGGAGATTCACTATGAATGGTTTGGCATTACTTTATCAAGTTTTACTGTCTATTTATATGCCAAACAATTTAATCGAATTCATTGATATTAGTAGTTGCTTTTCAATGTTCTCAGGAGCCCCTGTCATTCGGTTGGTGCAATGCATATCGCTATTGCTAGTTATGAAGGATTTGACAGTCACGTTATTGGAATAGGTTAAAATTGGCCTCTTCGTACTGTACATAGTTAATTGACGCTATCATTGACCGGAAATAATGTATGTTTATGTACATATAGATGGACATATACAGTGCAAACGGTCCACCGTGTTTCTGGAGAGCTGTATGGTTGAGCCACAGTAATGAGTTGTGCTGTTTAGTTCGTGGTATTAAGACCTGGATGATGTCTGAAAACCGATGTAAAATTACTTTTATCTACAAAGGTATATTCGCATAATTGTAATGACAATAATAATGATAATAATCAGTATAGTATGCTGATAATTATCATGTGCTCACTAGTAACTAGCTTCGACAGGTAGTTCTCGGAGTTCTAGTGAGAAGCCGTGACTAGTGGAGTTCATCCGTTCCGGATATGATGTAGTTACCTACTGTAAGTAATCGATGAATGTTTAAGCAAGATCATAGATTGATTGAAGTTAGACGTTAACACCGTTGGATGCCGGCTTAGAAGTCTAAAGGTTAAGCGTGTGTGTGCGGAACCGAAGGTTTCGGGTTCGAATCCTGCGTGTGGGTGGTTATTATATATTATATTATATATATTATATATTATTATTATATATATTATTAATAATATATTAATATAATTAGATAAACAAGATCAAAAGTGTATTTGACTTACCAATTAAAATAAAAATATAAAGATTAAATGAAGTAGAAATCTTAAAGAGACTAAATTCTCCACTATTCACTGTAGTATAAATACTGAATTCATACCTAAATACATCCTTATCTAAATTATAAACACCAATCAAATATACTCAGTTTATTTACTATAGTGATACATTAACATTATATTAATCATTTGAATTTTATTTAGCCATTTTTTTTGAATATTCATATTGTCAACAATCATTTATTGTCCATAAGGTTATGTACTACATTCATAACTAAGTAGTCAATAGTAATGTGTGTAAGTGTTACATATCATACTGTAACTTGTATAAGTCAAGTATATTTAAGTCTAGTGTTCATAATCAATTGTTATATGTATTGATAATTATAGTAACAGTTTATTACACAAAATATTTAAAAAAAATACATTTTTGATTGGATTAAATGTTGTGCTATTAATCGGTTTTTCGTATGAACTTGTTTAACGTTTATATATATGTAATGTTGTATGCAGTGAAGAGCTAGAATGCGGTGGGACGATCTAAACTTCGCAGATGATCTGGTTCTTCTACCACACACTCAACAACAAATGCAGGAGAAGACGACTGGTGTAGCAGTAGACTCAGCAGCAGTAGGTCTCAACATACACATCCCTTTGTTTCGTCTCACTTCTCTTCCTTCACTTCGTTTCTTTGATTATTTGTCTGGATCAATGAGTGTATGAAATATACGTATTTAAAATTGATTCTTGTATTTGGCTTATTTTATTCCGTTTTTCTCCAAAGTGAATTAAGTCAGTAATTATGTAAGAGGATAGTTGTTATGTGTATTTTGATAACGATTAGCATATGATTTTATTGTGGACCGCGGGGTGGCTACTCTAATTTCTACCGACTGACCAAATTCAGATATCCCAGTACGACCCCAATATTATTCCCCAATCTCTAATATATCAGGACACGAACCGTAGATACAATTGTTTATGGGGTCAGGAGAAGAATAAGAATAGGAATAGGAATAATACTTTACAGTCAAATGCATATTTATACAGTTAGGACTACCGTGAATATTGACGAACAGGAAAATGACACGTGAAATAAATATTGGCCAATAGGAAAATGAAACCATTTCACGTTCAAGGATAGCGTTAGAATTAACAAGATAATTTTTGGGATATTTTACTGAATATCCCAACAGATTTAACTGAAGTCAAATATTCGGCCACTAAACAGAAAGAAAAAACTATAGGACAAGTTGTTTATTATCAAACATAAAACTGGTTCTCAAATTTCTATGTTTTATATAAACAAAAATTTGTTGACTAAAGATTGAATGGGGTTTGACTGTTTGGTACTGTGAACAGCACCCCGTTTTCATATTCCCTTTTGCTTTAAACTAGAAAGCATACATTATAATGTTTATCCCTTTCATTTTATAAATCAAATTGCTATTCACTTTTGATAGACGAACTTGATAAACGTGAATTTTCAAAATACTTGATAATGAAAGATATTTCACATTTGAGTTGTAACTGAATTCGGTCAAGATATTTTCATCTTCTGACTTCTGATTACTATAGATCGTAGGTCTGAACATACACAAAGAGAAAAGCAAAATTCTTCGATACAACACAACATGCACCAATCGAATCACACTTGACGGAGAAGATTTGGAAGATGTAAGAACCTTCACATATCTGGGCAGTATCATTGATGAACACGGCGAATCTGATGCACAGGGGAAGACGCGGATCGGCAAAGCAAGACCAGAATATTTACAACTGAAGAACATCTGGAACTCAAAACAACTATCTGTCAACCAACAACCAAGGTCAGAATTTTCAATACAAATGTCAAGACAGTTCTACTGTATGTGGCGGAAACTCGGAGAACTACGAAGGCCATCATCCAGAAGATACAAGTGTTCCTCAACAGTTGTCTACTCAAAATAATTCGAGTACGTTGGTCGGACATTATCAGTAACAACCTATTGTGGGAGAGAACAAACCAGATTCCAGCGGAGGTAGAAATCAAGAAGAAGAAGAAGAAGAAGCGGTGGAAATGGATAAGACACACATTGAAGAAATCACCGAACTGTGTCACAAGGTAAGGCCTCACATGGAATCCTGAAGGGGAAAGGAGAAGTGGAAGACAAAAGAACACAATACGTCGAGAAATGGAGACAGACATTAGAAGAATGAACAAGAACTGTGTAGAACTGGAAAAGAGGGTGAAGGACAGAGGTGAGTTGGAGAATGCTGGTTGGCGGCCTATGCTTTATTGGGAGTACCAGGCGTAAGTAAGTAATATATAATGTTGTAGATCATGGTCATACACTTTTAACTGGATCCTAGTTTCATTGAAATTTATCAACCTCCACAATTTCATACTGATGAAAATTTTATGTTGTCTTTATTTGGAGAAAACAATCACGTGAAATTTCTCCTCGAACCTAAAAGGTGTAAATATTTCAGAACTAACATAAAGTACGAATACAACAGACAATGATGATGGAATAATGGGAACAAAATACTGAAGTTTACCTTCTATGTAAAGTAAATAACAGAATAATTTATTGTTTGTAATGAATCAAGCCTAATGTTGTAGATGAAGTTCTTGGGTG